CTCCTCCTTCTGCCTGTGCCTCAGCCGCTTCCCCCAGCACTACAAGAGCCTCTACAGGCTGGCCTACCTGTACACCTACAGCAAAACCCACAAGGTGAGCTCTGAGCCCCAGGGGGGGATTTGGATCTGGAGAGAGTTCTCAGTGTGCATCTGTATGCAAACCTTGAGTAAGAAATGCTGAGTTAGAAATGCCGTAGAATAGGACAGACTCTATCAACTCTGTTAACTTTCTGTCTCAACTCTTGTTGAGAGAGAAATTGAACTAGAAAAAGGTTTCAAAGGATGGCCTTGCAAATAAGACTGGATACTTTGGAGAAACAAAACTATGAAAGATGTAGTGGGACCCAGGAGGGGTAGTTTTAGATGACTGGTTTAAAGGCATCTACAGCATGGTGTTGCAAAAAGCTGATAGGCCAAGAAACTCTTATAGTGTAGTGTAATTAGAATATAATCAGCTTCTGATTGTGATGGTGTGAATGATAACATCTGTATTGTCTCACCCTCCTCATGAGACTGAAAATGGAATAAAAGTTCTTCAAGCACCTCTCAGTTGCCCCATCTCTGGGTTAGGAAAAGAGTATTGTCCAACACCCCAGCAAAGCAACTGTGCTGCCACTGGCACTGGTGCAGAAGTCCCAGTGCTAAAAAACAGCTTGTTCAGTGCAGTTTGGAATGAAGCTACACTTGGGGAAGTCTTCAGCTCCTAGATTGTCTGACTTGTGTGTGAGGTCAGTTAAGGAGAAAATTTCTTTTTTTATTACTGAACTAAGTAATTTTCTGTCATTCAGCAGAGAATTACATTTTAGATATGTCACATAAATTAAGATGTTCTCATGAAAATGACAGCAATTATTTATTTTACTGAATAAGTGGACTGAAAAGTGACTTGGAAGCAGAAATTAATCAATATTGTGTAAACAGATAAACTTTCTGGGTATCCTGGGTCTTTGTTGGCAAAATGTGTAGGAATAGTACATTGAAATGATCAGAGGTATTTTACTATTTGTCATAATCAAGGTCTGAATTCACAGATTTTATATTTGGGAGATCTTTGGAAGATCATATGCTACTTTGCATGGCTTCCTGAGTTTTCTTCCCCACCAGCACTAAAGCTTATGTGAACAACAGGGAGGGGAAACAAATTGTACCCCTGGCCTGGGAGCAGCAAACGTCACCAGTGTCACTGCAAAGTGAGCACAAGCAAGTCTTGCCAACCTGCTGGAAGGTGATGAATATTCCATTTGTCTGTAGAGTGATTATCCAGAAAAATATCACCCTTTTTTGTAGAGAGCTTGTTTTGAAAACATTCTTATGCTGTTTGTATGTAACAGTTGTTAATTTTTCCATGGAGCTAATCATGAATAGGAGCCATAGATTCCTGCAATCTGTCATTACTGTTGCTGACATGATTTTGTATCAACATTCAACAAAAAAAGCTGCCTGTTTTCAATTTATTGGTTCAAATAGCATGGCATTGCCTGAGGAACTACTTGAAAAATGTTTTCTTCCGTTATTTTTCCCTGATGAAGCTTTCTCTTTTGCTTTTTGTATCTCTCTCCTTATATAAATATCAACTCAGTGATGGATTTCCATGTGAAATACGCATTGTTGTCTAAATCTGTTTCCTCTTGGAACTCAGAAAAACTGAATCCTGCCTGTTTGAGCCTAGTAGTTACCAGGCTGGCTTCAATGGAGCATTTTTGGGTTTTACTGTCCTTTCTGTTATTTCTGCAGAATGCATAATGAACAGCCACTTCACACAGCAAAACCCAAAAAATCTTCATATTCACATATGTCCGCTACATATTTTCACATGGGTTTTACATTTTCTTTCTTCAGTGACTCATTCAGTTCTTTTGTAGAGCAATGTCCAGTGTTTGTGTTTTAATGGCACATTACTGGGTCTTTAGTGGAAGTTACACTCCTGCAGAAAATTAAAGCACAAAATGGATCTATGCATTGTCAGCAGTAACTGCAGTAACAATTATGCTTACATTTATTCATGATCAGCCTGATTTAAAAAATGAGATAAATCACATCAGGTTGTGTTGTTGGGGGCAGAATGGTAAATTTTAGAAAACTGAGATTAATTTTTAAATGTGTATAGCCATCTTGGAAAATTCAGCATTTACATTCCAACGCCAGGAATTTGCATGAAGAATTTAGACTGATGGCCAAAATTCATGGTTGGCTGGGAAGAGGAGAGGATTGGCAGGTCTCCATAGTGCTCAGAAAAACAAGTTTTCCATATGCAATCTGTTTTCTCCCATTTCACAGCTTTCCTGGATTTGCTGTTGTGAGATTAGTGAAGATAGTTGAGTGCTTTTTTAAATATCTTTTCAAACTCTTTGAATATTTTGTTTGGCTACATGTTCTGTTGGGTGTTTTTGTCCCTGCAAAATCCAGCTTAATATTTGGAGTCTATTTTTCTTTGTTTTAGTCTGTTATCAGAAGAAATTTATATATAGCTGTCTTTAGTTGGAGTAAACGTGCAGGCAAATACAAATGAATTTTCAGAAGTTGCTTCACTGCCAGTTTGGGCAGTAGTTTCAGTTTCCCATTAATATTGTCTTGAAGTAAAGTCTTCATTCTTTGTGACTTTTACCTCCAAAATGAATGTTGGCACAGTTTGGAAGGAGAAGTTAGGACTTGTTAGGACACTGTTTGTCAGTGTAACTTTGTGAAAAGTATTCACCTTATGGAGCAGTATGTGGAGCTGGCCTGATAATCTGTAACCAGCAGGTTGTCAGGAAGGAAAAATATTTACTTACATGCTTTTTTTTAATCTCAAAATAAAAGGTTCTCTGTAAATCCTGGAAGAATCTGCTTTTAAAGACTGTGTCAGTTTTTCAGTTTGTATTTCTATAATGTCTGTTATTAGCAGAGCCCTTAACGGGGAAATAAATGTTGGGTGTGACATGAGGTCAGTGACGTGACACGTTGGTCAAACCAGGCATAATACATGCATGTAAAAATTACCAGGTTATATGTTTGTAGGCTTAATATGTACTTAGAGACAGACATAATCTGGAAGCATAATAGATGTAACCACTTCAAGTAGAAACAGTTTGATAATAACAGTTCATTTAAAAGGCCACCCTTCAGATCAGTAGTCTTTTTATTTTGCTTTAATTTGATGGAGGAGGAGGAGGTTTTTGAGACAAAGCTTCTAATGGACTGTAAATGAAATCAGAGGGAAGGATTAAAGTATAGTGGATTGTTTTGTTCACCTCTCAGAAACACTTTGTGGAGTTTCCAGTTTAGGTAAAGGTGCTTCTGACACCACTGAGTTAAGGGGTGTCCATCCCAGGTGGCTCTGTTCCACTTGGTTGACCCTAAGAGATTTTCTTTTTCTACTTCAGCTTTTTTGCAAGTTACTGTAGCCTGTCAGTCATCTTGTCTTTGAATCTTGGGGTGATAAAGATGTGGGAGGCAACAGCTGAACTGGAAAGAGTATTTCATAATTGCCCTGAGTCAGACAGCCAAATCCAGCATTTGAGGCTGGCAAGCAGTGTGCCAAGAAGAATAAATCCTTTTTGCTGTGTCCTGGATCCCTTCACCCACTCCTAATAACTTCATCAGCTGAAAACCAAGCAGAGCAGACTCTGTGAAATCTAATGAGTTGAGACCTGCTCAGGCATATTTACTGGGAATAAGTGATCATGCTGATTTAAGGAGAAGGGTAGTGGAAAATCTGTAACTATGTCTTTTATTCCTATTAGCTTTGATTGTGTGAAGTTACCGTGTAATTGTCCCATTTGTCTGAATGATCTTTTCTCCTCCTGGCTGGGTTGCTGCCATCATCTTGTTCAATAAAAGCCTGTGAATTATGTGTACCAAACACATGCCTGTGGATGGTCAGTGTAATGTGCATAGCACATCCCAGCACCAGAGCATGATGCTACAATTAATGATACAATTAATGATCTCTTAACCTTTCCCTAGTACCGTTTCCATTTGAGAATATATCCACAGCTAATATTTCTTTAGACTGGGATTTTAGATTTAAGCTTTGTGGTGGGATGACAACTTTCTTAAGGATTTTGTTTTCCTTGAATTTTTATGTGATAGTTTTAACTGTAAGATTCAGATTACCACACATTAGGCAAGTCTTACTTCATTTTCACACTTGGAATTAACTTACACTTCTGATGACTATGATTAGCACAAAAATAAAGCATTTTCTCTGCCTGGCTCTTGGATGTTCCAATAGGATTATTTTTGTTGGATTCTGATTTTATTCAAAACAAGATGGCTTTCATGGAAGACCCGATTTTTGTAGGATCTCTTGTGTTGCATTTTCTTCTGTATGTATTTCCAAGCATTTTTCAGGATTAGGTTAACAGGATTACAGAAATACATATTACAAAAGAAGTTATGTAGAAGAAAGTTAGTATGCAGCTGAGTTTACACCTTCTGCTTTTTTCAGTCTTAATTAAATTTGACACTCAGTGATAATAATTAAATTTACTGATATCCATGACCAGCCAGAAAGTACCTTGTGATGTTTATGAGTGAATATGTGTTTGTTCCATACCAAAACAAAGCTGTCCAAATCCCCTTGATTATGCTGCACTATAACCATGAATGTCCTGTGTAAGTCCCTCTATGAGCTCTTGGAATGAGGGATTTTTGACACCCATAAATATCTGGTTATTATTGCCAGTGTTCAGCTCTCCTGCACATGAATCCATAATCAGCATTTTGCTAGAGGGGATGCTGCAGTTCTGGTGAGACACTGGAGATTTCTGAATGATTACTGTCATTAGCACAAAGGCACTGATGATTGAGCAGAGCTTTTACTGTTTCACCAGGGTCTTAGAAATAAAAATACTCTGGAACACAGGAAAAGAACTTTTCTTACAACCCCCCCACCCCAACACACAAACATACACACAAAAGAAAGGATATTACAGCTGGAATATGCTTCTTGGAGGGACATGATTTAATCATATTTATGACTCACAGAAGTGTATTTCCAGTCCACAGAACACAAGCCAGAGTGCAACATTCTTATTTGTCTCTATGCACAAAACATCTTCCTCTTTCTTTCATGTCCTCTCTTGTGAAGTTTTCTGTACAAAAGCTGGTCAAATGCAACTCAAATGCCACTTTTGAACCCTGAAATAAAACATGAAGTAAAGCAAAGCTTCCATCAGTGAAATCTCACAATTAATAATTGTCCCATCTGTTGGTAACATTCTGCCTGGAGCCAACAGCTGTCCCTAGTTCTCAGCTACAAAAGAGAGCTTCATGCATTGAACTGTTAGAGGGATAATGCTTTTATCAATTTTTGGTTGTCATCTATCATTTGGTCCCCTACTGATAATTTCTTGTTAATTCACTGAGCACTATTATCCAAGTTTGATGGCAGTTGTGGAATTTCCAGGGAGGTGAAGTGAACTTACGTGGAGGGCAATGGCTGGGTAGGGCCAAAAGCTCTGAATTCAACTCCCCACTAAAAGAAAGCTGCAGTTTAAGCCTGAGGGTCGAGGCCTCAGCTCTGGCAGGTTATTCCCTGCAGGTGCTTGGCCTGAGGGAAGAGCTGGGAATGCTTCCAGAGGGCGTGTGGGGAGAATGGAACAGCAAGTGTGACAAAAAGGAGAAAAGACACTGCAGGTTAATGAAATGTAAAATGTAATATAATAAATATAATAGAAATATACTTTGTTTTGTACTTTTTTTACCTGTGGTGGCTTTTGCATCCCCTGCCTCCATCTGACCTGGCTGTTGTTGTCCACAGAACCTGCAGTGGGCCCGGGATGTGCTGCTGGGCAGCGGGGTGCCCTGGCAGCAGCTGAAGCACATGCCTGCTCAGGGCCTCTTCTGCGAGAGGAACAAGACCAACTTCTTCAATGTAAGTTTACACAGCTGATAAACACAGTGCACTTGTGTTCTCAGCCAGCCCTGAGACACCTGTTTCTCATTGGAAATGAAAAAATGGAAATGGAAATTCTGCAGAGGGATGGGGATGTGAAATTCCACACAGGCGCGTTAAACAAGCCACGAGCAAGTAAAGGAAAGGAGAATTACAGAGATATTTACTGGGTGAATTTCTCTCTTGAAGGGTTATTTCTGGTGAGCTTGAAAACATGGGGAGAGAAGCACCAACATTTTTTCAGTTATGCATCATTTATCATATACTTGATGGCTGAGCCCTCTTTAAAAATTCTAATTTTGTTCATCTTAATTATCCTCTTGTTTATTGTTTCTTGACTCAACCTGCACTTCTCATGATGAAAAATAGTGCTATTTGCTCTAAGAACTCTGCTGAGTTGGAAGGAGCGTTCTTGTGCCCTGCTCTGTGTAGCCTGGCTCAGCAGAAGGAGTCTCCCAGCCCACAGTGAGGCAGCAGCACTGTCACAGGGACTGTCCCTGTGCTGTGATCACTTCCACAGGGTGCCTGTGCCTCTCACTGGCACGGGACACAGAATGCTCCTGACACTCACATGGGCATTTATCTCTCCTTCAGTTCCCTGCTGGGATTGCCACTTACACTTTGCTGTTGTCTCTGGTATCTTTGGCTTTTCTGTGGTATGTCCCAGGATTTTTGCCTTTTGTGGTAGGGTTCTTTAGCAGTTCTGGTTTGCAGTGTGTGGTGAGAGCCTGGAGATGCTCTGCTTGTCATTCTGGGCTGAGTACAGTCCAAATCTGTTATGTGGTTGCCTGTGATGGCAGTGACAAAATTTTGTGTCTCTGCTTTCCCATCCAGTGCTTCTGTTTTAATATTGGAATTGTGAAATTTATTTCAGCTTTATATCTGTTAACACCTATCTTAATTTTTGCTGTATGTTGTGTTAATTAGCACCTCTCTGCAAACCTCTTTTAAGTACAAGGTAAGTGCTCATCTCTGATTATAATCCCTCAGATGGGTTAAACAACTAAGGAATATTGACAATGGTTCAACATTGATTCATGGGTCAGTCTGCAAAAAGCGTTTCTATATCATTGCATCTTTCTGGAGAGAAGTTTTGATTAACAAGTGGTGCTAAATACCATGCACACATCTGATCACTCCCCTGCCATACCCTCCATGGGATGGGGAGGAGAATCAGAGAAAAGGTAAAGCCCATGGACTAAGATCAGTTAAAAAACTGAAATAAAAAATATTGTAATAAAAGGGATAAAGGAAATAGAGAGGAATAAAACCCACGAAAAGCAAGTGATGCACATTCCAGCTGCCCAGTACCTGCTGACTGATGTAGCAGTTCCCCAGCAGCAATCAGCTCCCCCCAGTTTCTGTACTGGTTTATGTACATACCTCTGTTCCACCCTCTGGCCAGTTGCAGTCAGCCTTCCTGGCCATGCTCCCTCCCAGCTTCTTGTGCACTTCCTCACTGGCAGAGCCTGGGAAACTGCTTTAGAGTAAGCACTGCTTAGCAACAACTACAACATCAGTGTGTTATCAACATTATTCTCACACTGAATCCAAACCAGTGCTGTACCAGCTGCTAGGAACAGAATTAACTCTATCCCAGCTGAACCCAGGGCACAGCTGATGGGGCACACTAAACACTGGCACCTGATTGATGGCTACACAGCTGATTTCACTGCACTGGCTGCCAGTTTTCCCAACAAAAATCCTGCTGTGATTGCCCCTGACATGACTGAATTCTTGGACTCAGATTCGCATAGTGCAAAGTATTCTTGTGGAAATTAATGGGATTATTCAACATGCTTCAAGCCAAGTGTGAACTTTGCACGATCAAGGCTGACTTGTTCATCACTGCAGGGTTAAGTGTCAGAAGTATTCTGTTTTAATGTATGAGGAAGATGAGCAGTAGGGGACTGAGAGGTGTGTATAAGGGAGTGTTTCTACTTGAAAATGTGAATTACCACATTAAGAGAGATCAGTGGTTGACCTAAATAGTTTCTAGTTTTTGAATGCTAATGCTAGCTAATTTAATTTAAAGAGATTCCACTATATTCCTAGGTGGAATTCTCTAGTATTATTTCAGAAAGTAATTATTTCTTACTCTGCATACTGATACTTTCATACTCTGAAAGATGAAAAGTACTAGTATAGATATTTGACAGCAGTATAATAATGTTATTTTGTAAATCAACAAAAACTTAATTCCCATAATTGATTTCTTTAATCAGAAATTAGATACACTATGAAAAACCAGACAACCTTCAACAAAAGGTATATGCTGGCCCAGTGCATATATTGGGAATACTGGTAGAAAAGATAGAAGGCATTTTTAAATTATATTCTCAGTTTGAACTTGGGTCTGTCACCATACAAAATTAGTGTTGGTCTGGAGTCCTCCGTGTAGATCACTGTCTCCAGGCTTTCAAAGTTTTGGTGTGGGGATGAACTCCAGTGTCTCAGCTGTGGGGACATCTTGGCTTATTCTGCATGCATGTAGGTTAGTCTTCCTGGTAACAGGCACGAGTTTAGCATGATGAAATATTTTGGTGGTCTCATTTTCTACCCAGCAATATTTTCAAAATCCTCTTCAAGTAACATTGTGTGAAGCATGTGGCATTAATCCAGAACAGATGACACAGACATAGCACAGTGAGAAAATCCAGATCTGAGAGGGAAAGGGCCACAAGTGCCCATGACAAAAAGCTGGTGGTGTCAGCTGACATTCCAGAATTGGACAAACCTAAATCTGTGAACAACTTGGAAAACAACCTCTCAGCTCTGCATTGACCTTGCCTGGGTTAAGCCACAACTATTCTGTTCCCATGCAAGGCTCCCAGGCAGGCAGTGGGGAAGAGGCTGAGCTGCACCATCTGGGTCAGAGCTCTGGTGTGTCATCCCCTGTGCAGATGGTGCTGCAGCCCACTGTCCCAGCTCCTGTCTGCACATACAGACTTGGGTGATAAAACACAAATTCTAGCACTCTACAAAACTAGTCTCATCTAATCTTGGAAATTAAATGGCTAGCTTTAAGATTTTCTAAACCTGTTAATGTCCCCCAGGATTATTTCCAATAGAAACCTTTTACCCAAAGTGTTTATTTGCTTCCATAAAATGCCTTTGGTTTTCCGTGTAGAGAACTCTTCAGCCTTCATGATACAAAATAGTTAAATGAATGTCTCAGTGGCTTTCTGTAGATACTTTACTACTGGAATACCTTTTTCTTCTGCAGCAAGTAGCACTGGTGTTTTTAATCTCTTGTAGAGAAGATTTAGGGTTGTTGAAATTACAGCTGACTCAATTTTACAAGTACAAACAAGAGAGTGCAAGAGAGAAAGCTAGCAGCTCCTCCCAGACATTTTATAAATCATGCATACTCCTAGTAGAATTATTTATGAAATGTTTATGACAGCACTGTATGAAAAGAAATAAACCTGAGTAAAGCTGTCTCTTGTTAAATTTTACTGCAGAACTGCTGGTCTGGATCTGTGTGTCACGGGCTGTTGTATAATTTGTTAGCTGTCACTTATCTGCAACTTAAATGAGCAAAAAAGGCATGTTCAGTTAGCCCTGACTTCTTCTCATTTGACATATTAGAATAATGTCAGGATGCTCAGAACTTCCCTTTCTCAGTTCTCAGAAGAAATCGTGTTACTGCATTATTGTACCTATTTGTTTCCTGAGCAGTAAAGAAAGGCCCTGGTTTTCTGTAAGCAGAGGTTTTTGCATGTTCATGGCTTTGTTAGTGATGGCAATCATATGAATGAATATTGCTCTTAGATTTTAAGGAGTTTCAGCTGTGTTCCTATAAATTACTGTCAAATCTGGTTTTTTTGGCCATTTGTCTTTTGCATGTACAGGTACATTCCAGCTTTTTTCCTCTTCTTCTTCTCAGTGTGAGTGTAAATATATACAGAGATTTTTTTTTAGGATGGCTGCAGGATGGTTTCTATAGTAACTAAATTAGAAATTATTTCAGCAGGAGAAAAAAAATCTCAATATATTGCTTTATATAGTAGGCAACCTTCTTATATATCCAGATTTTGTGGTACTATTAATAAAACAAAGTTCAACTTTGTGCACAGATGATGGGCATTGATCAGGCTGTGGGTAGGTGGGGATTGTGGAAGAAGCACTTTGGTGGTTGAGCTCCATGTACCACCAAGTTCTCCATATGTTTAATATACACTGTTTGTATTTTTCTGGCACATCTGCTGTGGTAATAATAATCTGTTGGAATAAAGATCTTCATGTCCATCTTTGGTAACTGTTCCCCACAGACAAAAGCTGTTCATGCACACCCTATACTACAGTGTTGACACTGGTGTGCATGAAGTCTGGCTGCAGACTGTTATGGATAATTGTTCTATTTTTAATTCCAAAAGCAATGCAGTGTGTTTATTCTCTGCTGTGTGTGTAAAGCCCCTCATTCTGTGGTCTGGCCAAGGAGGGTCAAATCAAGGTGGGGGCATCCACTGAGTGCCTGAAGCTGCAGGCAGCGGCGGGTTCCTTTATTTTGCCTTTTTCATGCCAAGTGTGACTGGGCACTGGCAGGAGGCTCTGCTAAGCAGAAGTTGAAGTCTAAAGCTGGTACTGCAAGTTTCTAAAGGTAGTTCTTATTACACAGCATGGTGTTACCCAGTGGGAGCTTTCTCTGGTATTCTCTGTGTAGCAGCTTCTTCCCTTAGTTGTGTTCCAGGCTGAGAGTTACATCTGCCTGTCTTAAGAGCAAAATTGGTTGTGAAAAGGAAAGCAGGGTGCTGTTTTAGGATTCTGTGTGACCAGAGCCATAGAGGTGAATTTGAGATGCAGAAAAGAAGGCTCTTATGAAGTCCCCAATGTAGGGGACAAACAGGCAACATGCCTCAGCTCTCCTGGAAGTTGGGTGGTTCTATCAAGGAGATTTCATTTTGTGTCTCAATTGTTTTTCTACATTCCCATAGATATACATTACTGGTCACTTTCAAAAATATGGCATTGAGTGAATATATGGGATTTTCTTTTGATCCAATCCAGCTGTTGTTTGTTTCTCTCCCATTTCCTGAAGTGCAATCTCAGCATTAGTGATTCTCATGCCTTTGATTAAAATGAAAGATTTGTTACAGAATTTAATGTCTCTGTTAGAGACAGCTGGCTATCTGACATGCAAGGGAGGAGGGAAATCTGTTAGTGGTGCTCTGAACCTGTTTTAGGTGTGTGTTGTGCCCAGTCAGAGTTTGCTACCATTGTTGGCTTGAAGAATCCCCAAGCAGCACACAGTGCCAAGGGGCAGCTCTTCAAGGCTGCTTGAAACAGCCTCACTGAAACCTAAGGCTCAGTATTCCTGCCATGTACTCAAAAACTTGAAACTGGAGGAACAGCAGACTAAAACCACTTTTGTAGAAATCTTACCACTCTGCTTTCCTTCCTGTCCTTGGCTGGTGAGAGATGTGAGTTACTCTCCTGCTGCTCATAGTTGATGTGTCTCTTTTTGGTTGGCAAATCTGCCTCCAGCACCTAGACATCTGCTGTGGGAACATGAGCCTTCCAACCAAACTACTGCCATTTAAATCAGACTGGAGGGAAGTGGAAAGAACTTGAAGAAACTTACTGTGCATCCATTGAGTTGAGATTGTGCCCTCAGCATGGTGAGAGATGCAGTTTAACCATCTATGGAGGCTCTGAGAAAATTAGTGATTATGTTTTAGTTTGATCGTTATTGGTTCTGAAAAAATGTTGGTCTTTTTAGTGGTTCTAAAGCCTTATTTGAAAATGAGTACAAGGGGTTGCCAGCTGAAAAAAAAAAAAAAAATAAATAAAAAAAAGAAATCCCAAGGGGCATCCCAGTACTCACAAGGGTTTAGTTATTCCGTTTTGCTGTTCTTACTTCTGAGGGTTTTGGATGCATTTTTATGCAGGCACAAGGGAACAGAAACCATAAAGGAATAATTTTAAAAAACCCCAAAAAACACTTTGATTCCAGCAACTACATAAGGCTTGAAGCAAGTTATTAGACTTAATACCATTTAATATGCTAAAACAAGTGTCTGGAAAAGGTGACCTCCACCATTCACACTGTGTAGTTGCACTAAACAAAATAGTAACAATACAATAATGACAACATATAATAATAATCTGATTTTTTTTCTACTACTTATTTTTCTTTTCTGTGCTTAGGCTAGGTAGATAGGGACATCTGGTTACGAGATGGTTAAATTCATACCTACTTCAGAGGATAGGATTGTCTTTAATCTCTCCATGTTCTAGCCATGAAATGTCAGGGTTTTCCCTGGGCAGGAACAGGCCCAGTGCTCTGCTTTGTGCAAGGGCTGTTCAGTAATGCAGCTCCTCCTGCCAGCTGCCACCAACTGGGAATTGTTCAGATGTTCAGGACGAGACCTCTCTCTGCTGCAGCTTTTCTCCCTGTGCTGGAAGAGGAAGCTGCTCGGTGCAGTGATGTGGCAGTTTGGGAGC